TATGAAATATGGTAGATCCAGTTATTCCAAGTATAATTCTTTTAGGATCTAGGACTAGTAATAGAATCGCACATACAAAATCATTTCGGCTCTTGGTCTTTTTCAGTTAGATAGAAAATGGTAGGAAAATTTATCGCTGAACAGGAATTTCTCTGTAAAACAAGTAAGTCATTTCTTTTCGGTTCAGGAAAACATGCTGATTAAGTGGTAAGTATTTCTTAAAATTATAAATAGTCGATCATCATTCCGTACTATTTTTGATTAACCTGCTGCCTTTTGGACGAGTCCGCGAAATTTTATAGGAGGAAGGACTACACCAATATTTTCAAAGAAAGTAAACAGCGAAACAAGGGTCAGAATTGTCAGCAGGCTGAACAATTACTAAATCACACAACTTCAGGATTAACAGTATAACGGGATGGTCATTTGCTACATCAGAAACTTGAAATGCGGGCAATTTATTAAAAAGTGTACTGGAATGTTGTTTTCCCTCGCAATATTATCGTTCCCCTTCCCTGTCGAAAAAGGAGGGATACTGTGTTTAAAAAAATGAAAATTAAAAAAAAAACAATAAGACGATTTAACACAGTGTCCTAATTATTGCAGATTTTAAATTGAGGTAAAGGAGACTGCAAAAAAAAATTGAATTATCCAAAAAAAAAAAAAAAATTCAGCCAGAAAGCTGAGGTAAAATGAGACAAAAGATTGCAGAAATTTTGAACCGGCAAAACTGAGACAAAATGAGAACCCACTTCGGCTCTCAAAGCACTTGGCGAAAGGATCATCGAAGTCAGGGCGATCGGACTCAGAACAGAAGCTCCAATTGCATGTGGTGACAAAGTCCGTATCTGAAAAAAGTGCCAAAATCCGTGGCTTTTGCTCCGTTAAGGGGTTATTGCCCTGTTGTTCTGTGGAAGATATTACATGAAGAACATACACCAATAGCTTCCGGATAAAGCACTTCCATAACAAAAGCATATGGCGAGAGTGTGAGTATTTCAAGCGCGCTACCGTAACCGATGTAGCTTGAGAATGCAACCGTCTCAAACGTATGGAATACACCCTGAAAAATAGATTGCTTCCAATTAAATTGATGTTTTTTTCCTGAAATTCGTCCCTTTCGATTGCGTCTTTCAACGACGAGCTGAGAAATCGCGATAACCTGTTGCATGATACCTAGCGGTATGCTGCGAAATCACGATAATCTAGCACACAGAATCTTGATAACCTAGCAAACAAAATCGCGTCACCTATGACACATTAACGATGTATTGCAAGCAGTAAGAAGGTATACTAAAAACGGTTGAAAAGAGATGAACCGAGGGGAAGGTAAGAGATGAATAATTACAAAATTTGTAAATTAATAAAATTATTTTAATGGTAAGAGACGTTTCAGTCCATTAAGTCGTAAACCACGACAACCCGACGTATGATACTTGGCGGTATTCCAATTATGCTTGAATTCTGGGCTCCGTCGATCATTTTTTTTGCACCCTCTTATGTGTTTCTTTTGCCATCCTTTGATTTTGATGCTGGTGTTACTCAGAGAAGGAAGACAGTTGCTGTTTGCTTCTCCTAGAGTGCATCAATATACGAATAAATCCGGGATCCGTCTCTGGTTTACGATAATTAGCAAACGTGCATGTTCTGTTTCATTCTGCTTATGATGCCGTTTAAACCGAGTCCCGTGACCGCGCTGCGCAGCACGTCTCGAAAGTAATGCGAGGGCTCGAATTTTGGTTTCGATAATTTCTTCCTTCTCAGCATCACTCATCTGATTGTATCGATCCAAATCTAACTGCAAATCTGAAAATTTGAAGAAAAAATTTTCATTTTTTGAGCAAAAAGCTTTATTAACTTGGGAAACATATGGGATTTCAGTAGGCCGGTGGGTTTTAATTATATGCTAACTTAAAATTACTGCTGCGAAGATTCTGTTAGAACACTACGGTTATTTTATATGCACATACCCTCCGCTGCTTCACCATAAATAAGACGAAGCTGCTCGGCCGACAAATACGCGTAGCCTTGGCGGTTAAGATCTGCTTTTTGTCGTGCTAAAAACAGAGACTAAGATCTGTAAATTGCAGTTTGTAAAATAATGCTACTTGTGGTTGTAAAATTAATCAATTATTTATTAAGCATCGCTAGCCATCAAGGATTTGGAAAAAATGGTCAAAATTTGGATTTTACTAAATGAATTGTACTAAATTTACTAAATGGTTTTTTCGTCAGAAGCATTAGTCAACACTTTTGCCGTCTTGAAATGTCACTGGCGTATGTTTAGCATCACCACGCTGTCTTGCATGCTACCACGTCTAGGCTATGTTGGCATCAGCTAAGAGCTTAATTTTATTAATTCACCTAGTTAACTTTTCCGAATTTATTGTCCTATCGCTCTTTAGTGAGGCTTGGTAGAACCTGGTTTTGTGCTTCTTCGGTAAAACTCTACCTTTAAATCACCCGAAAGCGCTTCCGTTCCAGTACTTCTGGCTTTCCTTTTCTACTGTTCAGATAATATAAATTCAGTTAGCCAGAAAATTTTGGCCTCTTTTTTTCCTGTTTAACAAACATAGGTCTTTTAAGTCAAGAAAAATTCTTTTTTATGTAAATAAACATTTATTTGATATTAGTTGCGAAGATATTTATTAGGCTTAAATAATATTATTAACGCTATTTCGTGTGATGAACATCCAGCACAGACCAGAATATCTTTTCAAAGCTTCTTCCCAGTTCTTTTCGTTTGCGATTAGCCTTTTGATCGCTGGATACTGAATGTTCTCCAGTTGTCGCCTTCCAGGTTCAATCACACTGATAAGTTTATCTAGAGCTTTCGAGGCGCCACTCAATTCCAATAGTAACTCGAGCAAGAATCGATGAGTACTTGTCGAAGAGGTTATCTGTAAGCCGCCGTATCAATTTATCCAAAACTGCTGATTACGATAATATACTTGAAAGGTGGAAATATGTCCCAAACTCTTATTATAATATTCTTATATCTAATATCGTTGTTAGTTACCACAATCTCCGTACTAACAAGTTCCAGTTGTTGTATTGATCTCAAACGTATGCGACTTAATGGACCGAAACATTCCAGTTTCCAATTCAGAAAACTTTCTAAAAGACAAACATATTTCCTCAACCAGTTCATTACTGTACCAATAATTAATATACATTTATTTCTCGAGGTTTCATTCAGTTTGATGTCAACAATCACATACTTTTAGTAAATCAGGAATGGAGAGAAGTCCGTCACGTTGAAAGCTGAACATCGTTGGTGAAAGCAAATGTCGTCTTCCTCTGTCTGGTATTATCGAGAAAAAACGTGGCGACATTACAGAAACCGATTCACCGCCCATTGCTTCCTACAATTAATCTGTTTCTGACAACTATATGCAAAAGCCTTCATGTGGAATATTGGAATATTCGACACTACCAAAAAAAAAACTAATTCTACCAAAACTAACTCTCTCGCTTGAAAAGACATTTAGGTTAGACTGACTGTAAATCTGACCCTGGCTGTGTCGGCTGACCGTAAAAATCAATGTCCAAAAAGGCAAAAATTTAGGAGTTGGAATCGAAAAAGAGAGAAACCCATCGACAGCACTGTGTGTGAACAGTTGTGGTTAACAGTATGCCCATAACTCTTACTGTTTTTAAATTCCTCCACTTCCTATAGGCAACGGACTATGAAAGAGGTTCTGGGATTTGACTGGTACTAAATTAATACAAAGGACAACCTGGAACGAATTAACAGTTTCGACGATATCCTGCAGTAACGGATTATTTTTCGCATCTTTTAATTTACCAACGTAGCTTTCAATTGGCAAACGTACACCTCGTAGAAACCTGAAAGCAAAAGCGTACTCTAAAATCAACAGTGAGGACTTTGAGGTATTCGGATGTTCCAAAAATTTGCACGCGCATGATTACTTGCATGCATTGCAACTATCACCGGTCACTATATTCCTGATGCAGCTATTCCAGCGTCAACCTAGGTGAACTAGCCGGTGAAGTCGTAAAAGAAGGAGCTTTTTTCCAAGGGTACGAACACGATGAAGGCGGGAAAGCGGGGGG